GCCTTGCTTTGTTGCGCAGCTGGGTTTGCCTGGTTTTCTCTCTCTCCAGCCTGTCTCGCTCCTTCGTGGAAAGCTGTTCGCCGGATCTTCCGAGTAACGCATCAAGAGGCGTTCTGGGTTCTCTACCGTACATGATTTCGAAGGGTGGTATCTCTGTTTTCGAATGAGATGTTGTTCTGTAGTTGAAAAGGATTTCCGGTAGGCTTCCTTCCCAATCACCGCGATGGTTATTGAGCCATTCCTTCATTGTTCTGTTGAACCTTCCAGTCTGTACTCTACTTGATAACTGTAATGCCACGTGGATCATGTTATTTCTGCTTGTGAGATCACAACTTTACTCTCGGATATAAGGTCCAGCACTGCGCAATCACAACTTGAAAAACAAAACAAATAACTTTTTCGCATTTGATGATCGATTATGGCATAGTGATTAAATAAACTAAAACTTGCAGATATCCCTCTCTATTTTGCGGGTGAAGTCAGTTTATTTAAGCAGTCACTGAACTGAACCGAATTATCTGACCAGTTGAGCTGCTGACTAACATATCGGGACATGTCCACAGCTTTTCTCGACCCTTCCCTCTCCAACTTCATCTCGGATTTCAACAACTTTATATTTTGGTTTATTTTTACCTTGGTTCGGTCAGGATCATATAAATGATCACTATTTTTCACTTTCTCTCCAGATTGGCACAGATCTGATTCGTGGAGTTTCTGGCGGTGAGCGCAAAAGAACCAACATCGGGATGGAATTGATCACCGATCCATCCGTCCTGTTCCTGGATGAACCGACCACCGGATTAGACGCATTTATGGCCGGTCAGGTGATCAAAACATTGAAAACGTGAGTTCTGCTTTATCATGAGCGAGAGAAAACGATCTCGTAAGGCCAGAATGGATTGTGAATTCGGGGAAATTACACCTATGATTACCCAATACTAGCTTTCATGCTCTCATGCCAATTTTCCAACCATTACCGAGTTGGCTATGCATTCTCGAAATTCTTTGACCTATCACATATGTCCGAATAAAAAAGACGTTTTGCGCCAGAGAAGGTAGAGGGATAGTTTAGGTACTTATGTGCCCTCGGTTCGCGCTCTTCACAGAATGAAACGATCTTTAAATTCATCTGGAGACGTTCTTGACCCCGGCTCTGTTTTCATTTGTTCCGTCTGTTTTCGTATCCGGCCTTATTGATGTGCCGTATTTTCTCTAACCATCCCTGAGCTCCCCCGCCCTCCTTATTGAATGAACTTTTTGTTAACTTTGATCTGTTCCTCTCAAGATATGAAGACATTCACTCGAATTATATGAATCGCTTCAAATGACTAGTGAGTACAGATTGAAAGCAGATGTTACGATAAAGGAACAGTTTCATGTGAATCGGAGCGTCTGGATTTAACAGTAAAACGTGAACACATGCCTCCCAGGATGGATAGATTAGGTCTTGGTTAATTTCAAGTCAATTATTTTGTGCAGTTAACGTTTTTTATGCTGTGATTAGCATCGCTTCGTGGAATATTAGAGATTTCCGATTGTGGTTGCGCAATATGACTCAGAAAAATGGTCGAGTTCGATCCAGTTAGGGATTTGTCCTCATGAAGCGACTCGCATTCGGTTGAACCAGATTCTTTGATTTTACCGGCTCTTCGACTCTGGGCTGATACCAAGGTCACCAATCACTTGATCACGTGCTCCACCACACATCGACAATCTGCCTGTCCGCGGAAAATACCAACACATCTGCAAGTGAATTGATTGATAATGTGTGCGCTATCCAGAGGAAGAAGTCATTATGAAAAATTATCAGGGAAGTTCGAATCCCACTGATAGTTGGTCTTATAGCCTATGTTAAATCGCGGCTCACGTGTTGGATCTCTGACAGATTTTAATTGGGAATTGCTTGAACTCGTACTGTATGACCCCCAATTTATAAATATATTTCAACTTTCATTATTACACCTGCATAGTGACGGCTATGGCCAAAGAGCATTTATCCCGAACTCTATCTCCTACTGCAGTGTTCTTAATTTTAATCTACCACCATTAAGATTTGCACGTTCCAAAGTCAATTTCATTCAGTCACCGCCCAGCAGCTGGGATTGTAATTGAAACCTTTTTCATTCTGTTTTAAATCGTGATTAGTTAGCTTCCTCAGTAACAGGATTATAGAGGTCAAAGTTCAGGAGAAAACTGATAGACGATATTTGATTGTTTAATTGATTAACTCCATACCCATTTTACTGGTCACAGTGCTAAAAGATAAAGTACTGAAAATAGGGTATTGTCAAAAAAAGAACTAATAACGATGTCAAGCCAAAGGGTCATTTTAAAAATAACTTCTTATGATTTCTCTTTCTACTGAGCCTTTGATATCTTACAACCGTCGCCAAATCCGATAAGTCGTATTATTACAAGACATTCAACTAATAGACGCAACGACGTAAATGAATTCAATTACAGATACATCATGTCTGGAGTCTTTGATATCTTTTTACTTCCTTTTAAATTTATTGAACATACAAATGTATAGTCAACATTCAGGAAAGGAGTCCGCGGCCATACAGAGGTTGCCTGGGAAGACGGGCGGCGGTGGAGCGGTTCGAAACCCGGACTTCCAGGTCACAATTAGGTGACCTAACCACTCAGCCATCACCACCCTAAGGGTATTACCATAATCATTCTCATGAATGAGGTTCATAACGCCAGGCCTTGGGAGCAAGAGATCTCAAGCAAGTCTGGTTGTCGTAAGAGTTCGATCAATACCTGAGTGGGTGGCTACCGTTTTTACTGTTGAAACAGGTTTGGCATGCTGTTGACCTCCTAACAACAGCGAATGAAATTGGTCGGATAGCCAGTTAACGGTATAGTTTCCCTGAATAATTACCTTTTCTGTTATGTAAATCAGTTACCTCCTGTGAAAGAGAGTCCAGGCAAACTGTAGATATCTGACACTTTATGTGAGCTTAAGGGATAAAGCATTTTGTTGTGTTCCATCCGAAAGCTTAATCATATGTTTCTGTGAAAAACAAGGTCATAGATGCATCCATTTTTATAAGCTAGCGAGAGAGGTTAGGGTAGACATATAAAATTGAAACGCTCATTTATCCTCAATGAAAAAACTATTACTGTAGATATATTTTTGAACAAATNAACCAGATGGTATTCTTCTGTTTTCCGTCGTGGCTGTGAAAGTGAAGTCTGGTAGGTAAACGAAGCTGTTCGTTATAATTCATGGGCTAGCGTGTTGCTGTGTTATACATACAGGTATTGATCAAACTCGTGCAACATACTGATTTTCATCACATTTTTTTCTCTCAGTGCTTCGTTTTTCCAGCCTCATTCACGGGAGTGTATATGATGTTTCCTCACATCAGACACAACGTATCTGATATAATACTCACTTATGTCTTTGTCTTTATTAGGCCCATTGCATTGAAATGTACGATTTCGCGATTTGGACGATGGTTGCTGGTACATCAGTTGTAAAATAACGAAGCCACAGTAGAAAACGTAACTAGAATTTATTCATTAAAATGACTCGTAGACTTACTTCATACAGGTATTGTACTTTCATCTCGTCCATGTTCAATTTGCTCTTCTTCATTTTTGAGCACGGCAAGCAGCCGCTTTAGCATGGAGTTCACCAAGTTGGCTGCCAAACAGAACGTGCCAGTTTTCTCTTATACATTCCGCACTCTAACCACTGCCGACCACTCTGGAGACAGCTAACTCATCCATGTTTCTGGTACAGGGAGCAAATTCCGATTAAATTAAAATCCCAGCTGCTGCGCGGTAATTGAATGAATTTGACATTGAATTTGGCCCCTCTAGAGATTGCATAAATGTGGAAAATAATTATTATTGAGGTTAACCATTTTTTAGTACCAACCTCAAGAGAGAAGATAAACCAGTCATCATCTTTGACTACCACGAATTCATTTTAACGCAACACTCAAGGTCGCGCAAAATCAAACGGGGATAGAAGAGAACTAAGAAAATAGATGTGGGAGATAAAATCGGGAATAAATACACTTTACCCATGACCATCAATATACAAGTATGACATTGAAATTTATTGTTCACTGTGATCTGAGCTGAGATTTTATCTCATGTACATCATGTACACATGTACACATCCAACGTGGACGATGATTAAGAAGCACAGTCTGCTCAAGCGCTTTCATTTCCCATGCTCCAATCAAAACGCTCCCAGTTGCATATTACGGGTTAAACAGTTAACTCCCGATTGCTTCTTACGTAAACAGCAGGACCAATTATACTGATTGTACTGATAATGACGTAGAAATACAAAGGCGTATTTCAAGCGCATCACATCTTGTCCAATTGTTTATCATTAATTTTGATTAAAATCGATTCCTTCGGTCATACTGTGGCCAATATTCAAATTTGTTTTAGCTGTTCCGTTGAACTTCCCCGGGGTGGTGGTGTATCTGTCAATGCGATTATCGAGGCATGCATGTGTCGAGCAAAATGCATCTGTTTGAAAAGTGGATAGTCTGCTTGAAAGATCACTAACTAAGACAAGTGAACTATGTTATATAACTAACGAAAGGCTTCGGATTTGATTGAGGAATTATGATTGGTACACATGGGACACGCTTATACAACGTTTGACATGTGTTCCTTCACAGACTCTCTGAAAAAAATTGGAAATGGGTTTGGCTGTTCGGTTGCTTGATATTTTGGTTTTCTGAATGCATTGGTTTCTCAACTAAAATGTTGACTAAATTGAAATCAACACAGGAAAATTTTCTTTGGCGGGCTCATGTTCAAATGGCATAAATTGCTATGAAATCAGCTTGGAGGTCTTCGGAACTATGAGATCCACTCCGTCTGCCGTTTATCACACAAGATGTTTGCAATATTAATAATAATATGAAAAATCAAAAAATTCTGGAAATCAGAATTTAATGGAAATACGTTGAATAGGATGCCAGAGGGATCTAGGGTAATTAAGCTGACCAAGTAGAGAGAGATGCCATTGACTTTGTCATGACCCTTATCGGTGTAAGATGAATATCCCACACTGGTGATTTCATCCGCTCTAATCGGATTCAGTGGGCTGCTGTTGAACCGTGTTTGCTACCATAGCCGGCTTGAACAACCTTTCAGAGAACTATGACACCCGGAAATCTAGCCACGAAATAATGAAGCAGGCCTCTTTAACTGCTGTGCGCTTCATTGTGTATCGAGCACTAGACTATAGATTAAACAAAGCTGAATTAGATCTGCTTATTTCATCGTAGTTTCCGATCGACTTTGCCATCATTCGACTCAACGCTTTAACGATCCTAGTCCAGTTCTGTGTGGCGTACCACAACAAGTCCCAGTTCCTCTTCGTCTCTTGCTCTCAAACTTTTAATGCCTTTCCATCTGTCATTTTTCAATTCCACAAGCCATTCAACTCGACAGTTTCTTTCCAAGTTCATTATCCGTTTTCAGTCTATCTTATGTTTATCAACATGCAAGGGAACATGCCTGACATTGAAGTCGCAAATGGTTTTCTGCGGACTGAATGGGATTTTCTTGCTGACTAAAGGATATGTACTGTTTGTTCTTAAAATGATATTAATTTCTTTCCTATGAAACAGAACTATGATGCATTCGTTTTTCCGTTTGCTTTTGTATTTTCCAATCAGAACCTGTGTAAACACGTGTGACTTTTATACAACTATCTCGCTTGCGTCCGTTATAGAACGGGTGCGTCTTTTTCGTTTTTACTTCCTTTTTATTAAATATACAAATATACAATTTTCAGGAAGGGAAAGCGGCCAATCAAGGGGCTGGCATTCCACACACACAATGAGGAGTCAGGCGGTGGTGGTGAATTGGAACACGTATCCCCGGGGTGATAATTTGGTGACATTACCACCGGGCCACTGCCTCCAAAGCACCTTTAATCCTTGCATTACTCAGTGTCTTTTGAAGGTAACAGAATGACGAATATGCCCCTAAATGATGTCGGACTGTATTTCAAGAGTACTTGGTGCCTTTCGATGCAACGTTCTTTCCAGCCGGTTGAAAACCCACCACATCCTCGAGTACTGGCATGCGTGAACTGGTGGAGCTTGACTACTTTATTGGGCTATGCCCGGTCATCAGTGCAATGAATCACACTATATATAGTCTGGTTGAGTTTCTCACGATCATATGAAACATTAGGCTTCGAGTGTGCAAAATACATTTGAACCATCACCAATTTATCTCCAAAGCCATTCACCCCAACGCACTTTTAAGCAGATCCTCATTGTATCCAATCCACACATACATATGTGCTAAGAAAACATTGTGCACCTGGTAGTGGTCAGCTGAGAGATTTTGATGATGCCGATGATGACCATGTAAACCTGCCACTTGTTAAGAATGAGCTTAGTTTAAGGTAACAAATAAATCCGCTGTTTAAGCACGAGATGACGGTTTGGGTTATTTTTCGAAGTTGATTTTCAACCACCCACCACCCCCACCCCTCGAACGTCTCATCAGATAACATCGACCTTGGAGATAAGATTAAAACTTCCTCTTTAAACGGTGCGTTTGTATAAAAGGATAGTTTTGAATGACACCTAGGCTTTTTGATCGAAATTTAATCTGCACTTAAATCCGTACCTACTTAGTCTGGCCTGAGTGGGATGGAGTAAGTGGGCTAGTTACTTGAAAGTAAGCATCTGGTGCTTGAGAATGCATCAAACAAGTACTCACTATCGCATTAAATTTAGCTCAATAGGCTCCGTTGGTTAGGGCACGTTTTGTTTATGTCCAACGGTCGCCTACAGCAGCGCGCCTTATTCGCAATGGCTGTTGCAGGCTGGAAAAAGCCTCGTGGAGGCCAGCAGATTATATGGATATGAGGCATGAAGAAACACGCAGAGCGATTAGGTAGAGTAGGTGTCTCTCGTCTTCTGATGTGGGGTTCTAAAGACTCCGAAACCGCATGGTTGGAGATACTGAAGGTCATGGCTGTGAACCGACATTAATGGCGATCTTGCTGTCACTTCTTATCAGATCAGGATGCTTGAAATGATATGTATGCCTAGTTGGACTGTGTACTCTTTGTGTTGACCATAGAGGTTCGGTTTCTTTTCCCGTCCCTAAAATTAAGTCCAATCCTTATCCTCCTTACACATTCTCATTTACCTTATATGCAATATGAGCTTGGGAGCGATCAGTGACGTTCTGTTCACTGTATTACGCTGTACAATGATGATGATAATGATGACTTTCAAGTGAGCGATATAGACAATATTGAAAATTACCAAGTTTTTCTTCATTCATTGTCACGTCTATCGGTATGAAGGTATGCACCTGTGTCTGTTTGTGTGAGGACAGTCAAATTCTAATCGAACACGCAACTCTTCACTATGCCACGTCGTTTTGATACAAAAAGCATGGCTGGAATCAGCAGCTTCGACAGTCAGGCGATGGTTTTCAAACCAGGCTGAAATGATTTTTGTACCTTTCCGATAACTGCCGAATCATTGTCAGTTGTCTCATGTTGAACTTAAAGTGTGCATTCTGGGCTCCTTATTTGTCTGCAGGAAACAGGTACTGTGTCTGGCGTGGCATGTATCGGATCATTGTCCATTGATGGAGTCACGCTCAGATAAGTTTACTTCCAGTTGACGAGAAGCCTAAAATATACATGAGCTATAAGAACGGGAATCGTTTCAGCAAAACAGTCTACCTCAAATTGCGAGGTAATCCAAATTGAGATGTACAAGCAAAGTGCACAACATATATTGATTACATCCATCAAAAGCGGTCAGCAAAAGGAATACTATGAATCCACACGCGTAGTGGTATATATAGAAAAAGATAGGTTTCACCAACCGCAGTAACTCGGTAGCGAATGGCAGACATCAGTCAGCGCAACGCGTGGTTCAGCCTCAAGGTGTAATCAGGACAAGGTGGGCCCATAAAAGGCAGATTATCATAAGATCAAATCTAATGGCCAAGGAAACAGTAACTCGCACGATACCAAGTTGGTGCATGGCAATAAGATGGTGAGCAGAGGGAACAGTGAGTGAAGATTCCGTTACTATGAGATTTGAAATGTGCATGGTAAAGGGTAAATCAACAATGGGCACATATACCATGGTTATTGGTACTTGAGAAATCCTCTTCTGAAACATTGGTTTTGATAGCAACGTTGCCCAAAATAGATTTACATTTTCTCAAGAATCTGAGTTTGCATAAATAGAAACAATCGACGCATCGATAGGAAGAGCGCAGTGTGTGGGTCATTGATTGATAGAATGACAACTATATTCGTTAGCTGAACTAATGTCACCTCCTGCACGTCTGTGATATAGCACAGTCCTGTCTATCAGAGGAGAAATGAACGTTTGTAATTTCTTACTTGTGTCCTTAATGTTACCGATCAGCGAGGATCTTTAATGGATCAATGTCACATGTTAAACAAAATATTTCCCGAAATAAACTTGAACAAAGAACCCACTCACGGACGCCGCCTACGTTTTTCTACAGCACACGCTTTACCAGCTGAGCTACGAGGCCTCATAGCTCAGCTGGTAGAGCGTGCTCTGTACAAAAGAGTAGGCGGCGTCCGTGCGTGGGTTCGAATCCCACCTAGGCTACTGAACTTTTCAGTCTCGATATAAAAGCTTCAATCTACCAAACAATAATTTGACAACTGAACAAGGAATACAACACTACAAGCGAGCATGATTTAATTTCGGAATTATTTCACTGCATCTCAGATGATGCTTATGGCAGATTACAAAATAGTCTGTGTATCACAGCTGGTGATAATTCAAAACGGTATCGATGCACTTCTCCGCTTTGGGCAATGACAGACCGTTGTGGACCGATTTCTGTTGCCAAAACAGAGTTTTTCTGTGCTTGGTTGTTATGGCCCCTGCTAATCTTAGCAGCCATCTATTTTCGAAAAAAAGTACCGCGATATACATATATATAATACTTTACTTTAATGCGGCTGATTCCTTGGAAAGGATTAGCCGACTCCAGACATGATCATGAAGTTCCTTGTAAGTTTGGTATGAGAGACGTCTTCAGCATCACTCGGCGCTTTTTTAATTTTTAGGGCGTATCTCTAGCCTTTGCACAACCAAGTGCGAACTGAAAGGAAGAAGGAAGTAATCCCTCGACCCGGAAGCGAAGATGTCAATGACTTTAGTTTTAAAAGGTCGGCCACATTGACCTTTGTCACGACACCGTCATTGGACTTATGGGGCTTTTAAACAGGAGACAAGTGATCAGCCTGAAAACGACCACACCCTGGTAGTGCCACCGCTGTTTGCTGGCGACTGCTTATTTCTTGCGGTACTCCACAACTTATTTACAGCTAACGTTCTTCGGTGAAGGTATCTTCTTATCCACAACCCGGGGACGCGCCTGGTAGCATTCAGCTCTGCTTAACCCGAGGGTTATATATATAATTTTCTATTCTACTGTAAGCACCAGGTGAAATTCAGCTAAATGATTCTGGAATCAAGTCATGATCGCTTGAACTGGTGTTTGTTTTGTTCAAATATCACATGAGTGAAGATGGGCTTTCCTCTGAATCTAAAGGGCTAATTCCGCTAGGTCGCCAAGACGCACATGATCGATAGAGCTAATCATCAACGATATAATAGTCTTTGAGATAAGTCCTTTTCTCAAAGTATCATTTCATCTGTTACGATTATTTTATTAGGAATAATCTTTTTTAAATTCATAAACATGCAAGGATTACGAAGGGTCCGAGATGCACGGGACTTGAAGATCATAACAGAAACCACATAGAAATAAAATGAACGCCACAAAGTAACGTGGCAGTAATTCTTTTTAAAACAGAATGTATCAAACAGCGCTTGTTTAAAAGTGCTGATTAACCGGTAAGAGAAACTGACTGCTTGCAATTCACAGCAATCTTTGAATAAACTGGAATCACCTATTCTGGTAAGCTGCATACTACATGCTGGTTGGTGTACTACCAACATGCACACATCTTCTATTAGATCGCTTATGGGAGTTCAAAACCTGAACGGGGAGGCATGTCTGTCCTACTGATGAACTAAATACGGTGGAAAAATGTGAATGCCTTCGTGATTGTTTGTGTGTGAGGATGAGAGCAGAAGGACGAGAAATCAAAATCAACACTCGAGGAAACTTGATTTTTATGATCGCGTTTCCGGCCTGTTCTAATGTATCGGTGAACAACCCGAGGTCAAACAGGACGCATGGTTGTGTATTTGCTTTCGCATACCCAGGTGAATTTGTAAGTCACGCCTGTGCGACACTGGTATAGGTATAGGCCTTTCTCCTATTGTCTTCTCTCCTCGTCGCTCAACAAATTCGGTGATACAAACGGGGCTCAGGCCATACTAACTTTCTGACATTTGGTTTATTTTAATCTAATACGCATTTTCAGTTGATCAAAATATCTGTATCTCGTTCACAGCTTATCCCGTCGTGGAAGAACTATCATATTCTCAATTCATCAGCCGAAATATTCCATTTACAAATTGTTCGATACCCTCACCTTGGTCAATCGGGGACGTTTGGTCTATCATGGTCCGGCAAAGCATGAACCCATCAGATACTTTATCAGATTAGGTAAGTGTTTGAACTGTTCGATTTCTCTTAAAATTTTTGAGGCTGAGATTTAAGAAAATAATCTACGACAGTTGTAACCACGTTTCAGAGATCAACATATTAATCAGCGGTGTCATGTTCACATGAAAGATAGACTGTTGTCTTGCTTTTTTCCTCCTGTGAATTATTCGAAAAATTTGACGATATCTATGGCGTTTTTTCAATTCAAATCAAGTTAATGTTTATGCACTCAGTAGGATGAATTTTTAGTCCTTTTGACAAGTTACAGTAGGTAAAACGTTGAGCATTGGATAAGGAAAATTGTTCAATTACCAAATGAAAAACAAATGGATAAAACCCTAATGTGACAGATGATTTTCAAAGTCAGTAATAGTATTTGTTCGGTTGACTAAGATATAAACAAAATAAGGAATGATGCTATTTTTATATCGTGATGGTGCGTGCGCAAAGAATCCTAAACTTAGAACGGGTACTCAGATGAGACACCGGTTTATTGAGATGGGCATGCAGGCAGTGTTCTTCATTTGACAATATATGGCTGATACATCTGTCGCATGAATCATAATGCTTACTCACAATAAAATCCACTACAATGGTCTTTGAAAGGCTACTACAACGGAAAAGAAGTTTAAAAAATTTGGATAAGAGAATGAATTCTTTCTCGTTTAGGCCAGGAAAAAATACGAGGAAACAGTAAAAACACTGGAAGAATGCAGGCGGTAAGAAATTTAAGATTTACCGTTGGGGAACACCGAGCTTTTTAGGCCTAAAAGCGTAGAAGAATAGTCCACTAACCCTGATGTAGACGTTTTCAACATGTCTAGACCAAGAAAGATTAAGTGACAAAGTAAATCCAAGATATTTGGCGGAATCAGCATTCGAGGTGATATGACCATTAACAAAAAGTTCGGGCCGAATACTCAAAAGGGTTTGCTAAAGAATATCTGTTTTAACGCTAGAGGAAACAATAAAATATTTATCGATATTCAATAAATCTATGACGATTTTTCTGTTCCAGATCTATTTAGTTAACATCTGAAAATGTTTTCTGGATCTTTCTCATCTCATCCTCTGTAATTACAATACAATCTCGCACATCAACCTGAATAGCAGGCTATAAGTGTTGCAGAGTTTGTTGACCATGTGTTTTGAACGGAATGTGGACTGTGCAGGTGCCTCGGCTTAACTTGTAATTCTGCGTGGAATAGTTGATCAGCGTGATTCTTGGGTTGGTTCATAGTACTGTTCATACGGTCAATCGGAACAAACAGGAGCTAAAACAAAAGATGTTGGTGGATGGTACGATCGTAGTGGTGTCGAGCGTGGCGTTGCTGAGCATCACCTAGACTGTCCAGCAGCCCAACAAGACTGACAAAGTACGGCTAGAGAGATGTTTTGTTTTGTACAGTTGATAGACTTTATCCTACAGAATGTTTTTGCATTTCATTCCCAGACTACTCTGTAGCTGTCCAAGTAAGCAGTCATTTCACGCAGACAAATGCAGACTGGGTCTACTAAGGCAGTAAGAGCCTCTTGGATAAAGGTCTACCGGCTCAATGGACAACCAAGTCCCGGCACGCATACCATTGTTCCAAATTTCTGGGCAGAACAATTCACGACTCCCGTTACACGCCTATCATTGGTCGTTCCCCTAGATATTGGTGAATATCATGGGGATTCTTCCTTGCGCTGTCCCTGATGAGTTAGTTTGATCGTTTAGAGCGTCACCTCAATCGAAAGTTCTTTGTTTTTGTTCTTTCGGTGGTCGTAGTAGTTATTTGTCGATTGTTTTAGTTAGTTCTTTATGTTAACCTTTTTATTTTGGGATAGCTTTAAGAATATCTTGGATGACTTTTCTATGCACTGTAATGATGTGTTAAATATTACATGGAGCATGATTTCAATTGCATTTTTGTAGGATAACAAATGGCACGTCGGTAATTTGCAGTCGGTACTGGTGTGTCGCACCGATCTTTCCACACACCACCCTCTAAACCATTCGTTTTATTTGTAGTGCATGCCGGTGAACATCAAACCATGCTACTTGGGTACCTGTTTACACTGCCAGCTCTAGTAGTCGATCGGCAAGCTAAAGACATTCGAAACCAGCTAAAAATCTTACCAAAAGCAAAACGTATTAATCATCTTTCTCGTGTGCAAACTAATACACTTTGAGAGCAACCGGAAATTTGAGTGAACCAGGCCAATAGGATCACTGATTAACGAATCACATCCATGTTGACCTGTTCACTTTCACATATCGCTGAATTACTACACATTTGTTTCTCAATTCCTGATGCTCTACTGTTCGAAATCTTAAGTCGGTGAGCTAAACTTCATCGCCATGATTATGCATATAAATGCACACACACATGGGCTTCGCCAAACGTGCCAACCTCTGCCGTCGCATGTGTTCCCTTTGTTAGTTTGTTGATTGTTTTTTTTCTGACTTGAGACTGTACAGTACACCCTGATTCGTGGTGGGTAAGGTCATGCTTCCAGTCATTCCCAATGTATTTCACTGAAACTCATTCCGGTCTTCAGGCAATTTTTTACGAGTGGAATCAAAATGTTCCTATCACCTATGTCACATTTTCTGTTCTTGTTTTCCATCCTCTTTGTCAGGCTACGAATGCGAGAATCACAACAATCCTCCGGATTTTTTCTTGGACATTTTGCACGGTGAAGCACCACAACGACAGGCAATAAATGGCGTAGGTATGTGAGCATTTCGTGCCTTGTTTCCTGACAACTCGGACTTACTTCCTGTTTGTCTCTTGTTGTAGCAATTTTTGTTATCATTCTTGTTGTTTTGATGTTTGCTTTTGATTGAAATAATTCTGGGGATCACCTATCTTTTCTAATAAACATCCAACTGACACGTGAAAGGAGTGCCGATAATTTTTAGAGAGGAATGCCATGTCAAAATCTACATCATGATGGTGTGTGGGACAGCTCAAATCTGGCATTCTGACCGAATATCTCATGAATCAAACTCCACCGCAGTAGGCCACTTAATTGAAAGCGGTCACAAGGTGAACCATAGAAACACATTATTCATTTTATCGATTAGTTGAAAAGTGGCCGTTCTGTGAATACTCACCGATAATACTTTGCTGGTATTCAATATTAGACATATTGAATCTCAGAGACAGCTTCAAATATCAAGCAGCCAGTGACTGCGAGTTAGTTAAAGTAGATACCCAGGCCCAGTGAAAATTTCTCTCCGTCAAAGTACACTATAATGGATTTATACTATTCAACATCTTCACGTAAATCCAGTTCAACATGTGATGGATGTGAAAATAAGATTTTCAAGCAAACTCCCTAGCAAGAAATGCTTGCAGTGAACAAAAACGTAGAACATTTCAACTTCCTCCCCGGGACTTGCACTCACCTCACCGGTTCATATCCTTGATCAATCGATGTAGGAACATCCCAAACCGTCCACTCCGCGGTCTGATTAGGACCCTTTTTAACTTGTCCAGGCCATGTGAAATTCCACCAAATCCCAGCTTGCGATCCGAATCATCCCGCGCATATTCAATCAAGTTCAAGGCTGAGGAGTGTGCTGACCACAGCCGCATTCGCTTTCGACCATGTGTTTGGAATACACATTGGGGTTTTACTCAATAACTAACGAGGATATTCT